AAAAAAAAATAGAAGGTTTGGTTCTGGCGAACTGAGTGGACTTGAGTAGATTCGTATTTGTGTAACTTGATTTCTGTCCTGGATCTAATCTGGATATACAGCTTGATTATTATTTTTTTTTTTTTTTGTGATGAATACCTAATTTTTGGATTTAATTTTTTGCTTTTTTGTTGCTGCTCTGTTATTTGATCGATGTATTACAAATTTTCTCAATGCATTCTTGAATTTAGTGACTAGAGCTTATGTTGTGATCTGCAATTAAGAACACTCAGATGTTTTCTTCTCTACATTCTGTCAAAGATGGTTTCTTTTTTCGATCCCTTTTTTTATCTCAAACTACGTAATTTCCGAATAAATATAGAATTTTATGAACTCTGATAGATATGTACATTTTCACTTTCACAGGGGCACAAACCACCGCCATCCGACACTCCGATGACCTCAGCAAACATCAGTGCATGTTCATCAATCCAACCAAGCCCTAATTCTTCGGCTTTCCCAAGCCCTGCACCCTCTTACCACGCCAGCCCTACGTCCTCGTCCTATCCAAGCCCGCCACGTGGTGATAGAAACCCCACCTCGTATATCCTACCTTTCCTCCGTGTATGCAATAGCGCCCCCGTCACACCCCCTCTCTCCTCTCCTTCTAGAAGCTCCAATCCGAATCCGCATTGGGAATCTTTTCCCAATAATAATAACAATAATAATAATAATAACTCGTTCAATTCTTTTATCCACCCCCTTTTCGCTGCTTCGGCCCCTCTAGCCCCACCCGCCGCCGGCGGTTTACACCCCCCACAATCCCGGAATGCGACGAGTCTGATTTCTGGGCAAGTTTTCCAGGCGGGCCCACTTCGCCGACTTATAATCTTGTGAAACCGCCACATCAGCAGATTCCTTGCGGGGCGAAGAGGGCACGCGGTGGCACTGAGTTCGAGTTTGAGAATGGTGCTGTAATGGCTTGGGAAGGCGAGCAAATACACGAGGTTGTTGGAATGGATGACTTGGAACTTACACTTGGGAGTGGAAAAGCTCATGCTTAAGCGTCTTTTTTCCGATGAGGTATTTTACATGATTGGTCAAGAAAATTCCGTATTTGCTCAAGACGAAGCCGTTTCGTAGCTCGAGATTCGATGGTGAGCTACGTAGAGTTAAATGCTTTATTGATTTCTATTTTAATGAAATTATGTGTAAGAATGGTATATTTTATCAGTCGGCATCATGTAGAGAAGGAAACTTGAACTTTGATGAGTTGGTTCAATGTTGTTTCTCAGTGGCAGAATGGTAATTAGGAATGGGGTTCTTGAATACATGCATCTTTATTGCCTACACCATTTCAGAAATTACATGTTTTGTAAACATCTGTTGTAGTTGTAATCTATATATATATATTTTTAGTTTTAATGCGAAGCAGTAGTTATTAAATGATTGAAACATGCATAATGAGGTAAAGTTTTCGTGAGAATTTATTTATTTAATTTTTTATTTTTGATTTTGGGACAATGTTTTTCATTCCGAAAGTTTCGGTTTCCGATTTTTTTTCTTTTTTTTTTTTGATTGTAATTGGGATATATACGAGATTTCGATTCTTCCCATCCAATTTAAGTTTTCGCAAAATTTCATAAAATCAATAATAGTATTTTGTCTTGTGAATAATTGATTATATTGGGATTTTTTGAATTATGCCGAATATTATCTAATTAACTAAATAATTGGATAAATTCCGATGTTTGGTATTTCCAATAATTTGTCGGGTCGACCGCAAATATTATATTATCATGATTTTATTTTGCTTTTTGGGGAGTTTTTTGGTTGGACGTGACGGAGTCCGATAGAATATTTGGATTTTTATTAAATTATTTAATCTTATCATGACTACTGATCTTAGTAACCAAACGAGGCCTTAGTTCTTCTTCTTGTACGGACAACGACCCCGATCTGCATCACATGCACTAAGAGTGAGATAACCTTGAGATATAAAAATCTTATTCCATAACCTTTCATTATGGTATCTTCAGGCCTCATTTCGTTCGCATAATAAGATTAATTGAGATAAGATTAAGGGTAAATTACACCCACACCCCTGAGGTATGCTTAAATAATTTTAAGGTCCCTATGGTATCGATAATTACACTCACCCCCCTGAAACGTAGTTAGAAACTCTAACGGGATAATGTATTGGATACATTATTCCGATAGGGTTCTAATGGACTATTACTTTTAGCTAGTGGTGGAGATAACATAGAGTTATGGAGAGTTATGGGGTGACATGGCTCCCCCAATATTTCTTAAATCACCCATAATTTTTTGTTGTCTCCACCATTTCCTGAAACCAATAGTCCGTTAGAACTCTATCGTAATGACTTATCCAATGCATTATCCCATTAGAGTTTATAACTACGTTTCAAGGGGGTGAATGTAATTATCGATACCACAGGGACTTTAAAGTTATTTAAGCATACATCAGGGGTGTAAGTGTAATTTACCCTAAGATTAAATAATCTAATGAAACTCAACTGCATTTGGACATTGGAAAATTCAATAAAAAAACATGCCCATATGGCAATATAAACCATAATAACATAATATTTTCTAGTGT